ACAGCACTCTGTCAGTATTAATCAGATAGCTTTGTACAAACTAAGGGAAGACGTTAGACTATTCTTTTTCTGTTTTGTCATAACAAAACAACTTCATTTACAAGACTTTATTGAAACACATGCCCTGCCAATTGAGTCCACAACAATCTATGCCTTGATTTTAAAATAGCTGTACATTTGACGCAGGAAACAATACCATCACATCTAATATTTTGATTTAGTTCCTCAACCTACACAGCTCAGATCAAATAGTTTCCAAGTATAAAATTTTGATTTTCAGGAAGAAATAATCAATATTCAATCGATAATTTTGTGCCAACTAATGATTATAGTTTTTACGTGTACTCTTCATTGACATCACATGAAAGTAAAACACAGAAGTCAATAAATACTTTGTTTACCTAAAGAAATTATGTCAATTAATTTATAAAAAATGCAAGCTAAATCTATGAGTAGGACAGTGGCTCAGTGGTTAGCACTGCTACCTTACAGTACCAGGGACCCAGGTTCAATTCCAGCTCCAGGCAACTGTCTGTGTGGAGTTTACATGATCTTCCTGTGTCTGTATGGCTTTCCTCCCACAGTCCAAAGATATGCAGGTTAGGTGGATTGCCCATAGTGCCCAGGGATGTGCACGTTAAGTGGATTAGCCATGGGAAATACAGGGTTACAGTGATGGGTGAGATGCTCTTTGGAGAGTCAGTGTACATGTGTTGGGCTGAATGGCCTATTATCACACTTTAGGGATTCTATGAAAACTTGTGACTGTATTTTGCTATCCTGAAAATGAGAATCTAAGAACTCATGATTAAAGCACAAATTATGAGCTATGATGATACAAATTTAATTCAGCTTGCCAACTTTCAGTTTATTTTTAAATCATTCTAAGTAAGAGGCAATGTTGTCCATTAATGTTCAAAGTTGTCATATTTATGATCAAAGTTAATTTACAGCCCCATGGATCAAAGAAGGTAATTCACCAATTCCTTCTCAAGGTCAATTATGGATGGGTGACATCCTATGATGACTACATACCATGATTCTTTTTAAAAGTACATGAAGGACAAGCCTATAAATTTATTGAAGCATACTCCACTTTTATTTTAATATCTGATCAACAGAAGTTCAGTACAAATATAATTATCACTTACATTGCAGGACTATCTCCTCTGCATCCTCATCTCTCCCATTGTTATTCCACACTATTTCCATACCAATAAAAACCCAAAGAACTGCAGATGCTGTAAATCAGAACAAAAGCAGAAGTTGCTGGAAAAGCTCAGCAGGTCTGGCAGCATCTGTGAAGAAAAATCAAAGTTAATGTTTCGGGTCCGGTGACCCTTCTGAGGAACTTCTCAGCAACTTCTATTTCCATACCAATGTCTGGATGAACTACACAATAAACTATAATTGCTTATAGGATTGTCAGTCCAAATATAATCCCACATAATACAGAAATCTGTATTAGTTTATGAAAGAATGTTCACTTTTTAATACACTATAAAGAACATTGATAAATTCCTCCATTGCTTTAATGAACAGGAAATGTTTACACTGCAGCAGTGGTAAGAGCAGTTGTTTCACGAGAAGGTCTTTCTGTTTACTAAAGGAGAAATGCCCATCTTATGGAATTTGTTTACATTGTAGCTCTGACAAGTTAGCACAAAGACCTTCAATATATGCTGCCTACAACAACTATTCTTTTTCCAACATTTTCATTAACAATAGAAGAAAAATAGTATCAGAAAATATCCTTTTTGGTGTTTCATTTAAAGTTACAAAAATAGCTAAACAAAAAAAAGCAAAAGATAAGATTTTACAACTGGCATCTCCGGGGACTGAAAAGTCAGAAATAAAAATGAAATTGCTTTTAATCATGACGATGGCAGATTCTTTACATGCAAAGATCATGCTAAGGCTTGTCTTTGTGGTAACTGGCTTGATTGTCAGAGACTGAAGAGTTCAGATTGATCTGCAGGCTCTTGAGTAGCTATGGCATCAGCCCTCATGATTTCTCTGAGCTCTGGCACAAACAGACTCCTCCAGTTGCTGGTGTTTTTCTTTGTCAGTTTCACATTTGTTTGTTTTGAACTTGTAGGTTGCTTTCTTGGTTCTTGTGCATCAACTGTCTGTGTCAGCAGCTTCCAACTCCTATACCAACTGGTCAAATATTAGCCAGAAAAGGTTCTCTTTTCAGCTGGTCATTGAGGCACTTGTGACGTACTTTGGTCTCCAGTGAATGTAATTCACCATAAAGAACTGCTTTTGGCATTCTAGAATCCTCTAAATATGGCATATGTCCTGCCTAGTCCAAATGACATTTAAGAGAATGCATCTGTTTCTGGATAGATTGGCTGTGTTGGGGACTTCACTGTCATCTTGTCCACTGACGTTCATGATGAATCAAAGACAGCATAGATGGAAGCTCTCAGACAGTCACATTTTTTTTCCTGTGAAGATCCATGTTTGCAATTCCTTCAAAAGAGTGCTGGTGATCACCATTTCTATACTTGAGTTTTGTTAGAGATGCATAATGGAAGCTTTTGCCAGACATCTTTGCAAAGCATCAAAAGAAACTGTTAACTTTGGACAGTTAAGTGTCTATGTCCTTGGTGAAAGTGGTTTCATTTGAAATAATGCTATCCAGTTAGGTAATCTGTGCTAATATACTGAATTTGCCTCTGTCATTGCAGACATGCAGTGGAGTGTAATTTCCTCAGGACTGTGGTGGGTACAATACGTCTGTTTTCTTTAGGCTAACAGTAAAATCAAAAAGGCATTTGCTGCCCCTCAGCAACAGTTTATAATGAATTGCATTCTCTCTTCTATATGTGCCAGAAGGGCACAATCATCAGCTACACGATAAGCTCTTAAGTGATTTGGTATGTGCCAGTAATTACCATAAATTGAGGACTGCTGTCTCTTAAAAAGCAGACATGTATGCCTTCTTTCAGGCCTATCTTTGCCTCTGCACTAGGCAAAACAAATAACAGAGGAAAGGGTCGATATCAGATACAACTTTCCTGAAGATTAATGCAGATAGAGAAGCTGTCTAAGAGTGCTCCATTCTGCTTGAACTTCTGGCCTAGAGCCTATGACAGAGAATAGTGAGGGACATTCAAGATCACCCCAACTGAGATTGTTCCTTCCATCGACCACCCTGACTGACTTGTATCAAGCATCTTAGTGAGAGCTATAGAAGTGGCATACAGGCCTATGTTTGTTCTTTACACTTCTGGATCACTCAGCACAAAAATCATGCCTATAGTTCTTCATTGGTTTTGAATATGCAGTAACTAACAGGGAGACTTTCTTGGGGTGGCTCAGTGGTTAGCACTGCTGCCGCACAGCATCAAGGACATGCGTTTGATTCCAGCCTCGGACCACTCTCTGTGTAGAGTTTGCACAGTCTCCCCATGCCTGTTTTCTCTGGGTGCTCCGGTTTCCTCTCACTGTCCAAAGTTATGCAGGTTAGGTGGCTTGGCCACGCTAAATTGCCCATCGGGTCCAGGGATGTGTAGGCAAGGTGGATTAGCCATGGGAAATGCATCATATCACGTTGAACCAGTATCCATAGAGCTTTAGCAGTGTTTCCTTCCTCTTGTGTTCCATGTTTGTTTTAAAAAGTGCTGTCATAGCCATTTTCTTAACTGGTCCCACCACCTTCAAACATCTATTGGTCTGGCCCCAAGGCCTCTATTCTCCTGCATTCTCTCTAAAGTCATATCATTTTGTTTATAGTGCCTCTCATCCTTTCTAGTAAAGCGAACCACCTCACACTTCTATGCACTTAATAGCATCTGCCATACGTCCGCCCATTCGTCAGTTTGCCCAAGGCTTCCTGAAGTCTGTTACTTCCTTAATGTTTACAGTACTAACTTTTTCAAGTTTTCTGTCATTTGCAAACTTGAAAATCATGCTTTATATATTCAAATAGAAGCATGGTACTGGAAATCTGAAATGAAAACAGAAACTGTCAGAGAAGTTTCCTCAGATATTCAACCTTAGGTCACCAATATTTTATGAGAAAGAACATTTTTCTCAACTCTAGATGAGGTAACTGCATTTTGTTTCTATCTGAAAATATATTCACCATTAATCTTTGCTTCCTATCCCATTGTTAATTTCCCGTTCGCACTGACACTGCAAATATTACTGTAAATGGTGCTTTGGAAAGTCCACTTTTTTTATTCATTCGTGGGATGACGGCACCACTAGCCAGTCAGCATTTATTGCCCATCCCTAATTGCCCAGAACGCAGTTAAGCGTCAACCACATTACAGTGGGCCAGAAGTCACATGTAGGCAAGACCAGGTAAGGATAGCAGTTTCCTTCCCTAAAGGACATTAGTGAACCATACACATCCAATGAATGATTCTACGGCAGTGAAAAAAAACACATATAAAAGTAAATGACAGTAGCTGCAAACATTTCAACTAGTTAATTCATGATTTTTGATTTAAATTGACCTAACAGCTTGTATGCAAAACAATGGAAATACCACGGAGATAATGCAGGCTGAATTTTGTCCGGAACTACTCTCTCGCTGCATTACAGCGGCTTTGGCGGAAACGCTCGTTTCCCCGACAGACTTATGCCAGAACAGCAGCACAAACCGGAGAAAAATCACATTCTGCAGTTTTTATGAACGCCTCTCCCGCAAAAAGAAATTACACGGTGCCCCGGCTTGAGGCGAACACGTCGTGACACTGACTCATCGCCATTCGGATTGTTATAGGTGCCGTTACGATCTCCATCTCAAAGTCATTTCACTGGACTAATTATATTCCACTCACTTTGGTGTATAGCGATAAGGCAGTTCCACAATGTGTATTTGTGCAGTGTGGAATGATGCAGTATGCACACAATTGCGGAGGGTGTGGAGGTAACGGTTCGCTATTAGTACGGGATGCAGAGGGAGCGGGATTTGGGGAGGGGATGCTGGGGAGGAATAGATGATGGTATGTGGAATAGCTGATGGTATGTAGTTCGGTGCTCACCTGGCCTGGGGCTCTCTGGCAGCCACCTGGACGGGCCGATCTGTCGCCGCTGGAAAACTTTCTTGACCTCCTGACAGTCGGGGGCAGTCCCATCCGAGCTCCCCAGAAACAAGAGAAGAAGGACAGCCGCCTTTACACAAGATGCGCTCTTCATCCTTATCCGAGCTCCCCGGGCTTCGCCTAGAACATCAACCCCCACCTGGAAATTGCTCAAACTTTTTTCTCTGTTTCTTTATATGTATATATTTTCGGCTTTCCCTCCCAACCGGTTTCTCCTGAAAACAAAAACTGAAGCAGTCCCAAAAAAGGTCAAAGTGGCAGTATCCAGCGAGTTTTCTCCACAGTTCCCCGGCTGCTTCTTTTTAAAACTTCAATACGAGTTGAAAATGTTGCAAAGTCACTCGAGAATGATGAGGGGAGTAATGTGAAAAGCTGAAGCGTGGACAGCAACGAGCAGCCTCCGTACTGACCCCATCCCCTCCTCAGGATGAAGTGGCAGGAGTTTCGCACTGAGCCACGCTCAATGCCACTGAAGCCGCCCAGCCCCCGTCTCTACGCGAATGAGCGCGTTACTCCCACCAAGCAAACAGCTGCCTGTATTCTACACTTCAGATCAGAGCCACCCACTGGCTGCTACAGGACTTCAAGCCCCGTGCAGGCTGTGCAGTATGCACATTGGCAATATCATTCTTATTGTTTAAATAAAGACCACATCACCGACGTAAGAGCACGTCTGGCAGCAGCTATAGAGGGAGAGACATAACTAGCGTTTCGAATACAGTATGACTCTTCAGAATTCACCTGTATTTCCAATCTGCGTTCGTGTTTTCTTTTGCCCACGTTGATACTTGCAGCAAAACCACATAGCTTGGATCGAGTGTTTCTTTACCCCACCTAGTCCGAACTCATCTTGAACGGGGAAAAACGAATTTTCAGCTCGGACCAGTATGTTCCTTCCAAAGTTTCACTCTTCTTTCCTCCTTGAAAATGGGATTACAAATGATTTGAAAATGTGTAAACATACACCATTGCGGACTCTATAGATTTGTGCTCAGATGAAAATCATCGGTAATTCTGAAGTAAACTGCGAATGAATTACAATGAAAATAAATCATAAAGGGGACAGCAAGCTCAAGTAATTTGCAATGTTTTCTTGTAGTCAAACAGTTGATCTTCAAAGTTTTGTTTTTAATACGAAGCTTCCTGATCACCATAATTTGAACATTGTGTTGTGTCTCAGGACCTTGTAGAAGTTTCGGCGCACTGGCAGTTTTAACCTTCCCACGGACAGGTTTCCACTGCCCTGTAGCCTCTGTCAAACCACCAAGCTAAGGTGAGGTGTGAATGGATAGCCCTTGAAATCAAAGCCGCATTTGACCGAAGGTGGCATCAAGGATTCCTATTAAAACTGGAATCAGTGGGAATCAGCGGGAAACCCTCCATTGTTTGGAGTCATATCTGGCATATAGGAGGATAGAATGGCATGGTGGCACAGTGGTTAGCATTGCTGCCTCACAGTACCAGGGACCTGCGATCAATTTCAGTCTTGGATGACTGGCTGTGTGGAGTTTGCACATTCTTCCAGAGTTTGCACGGATTTCTCCTGGATGCTCCAGTTTCCTTCCACAGTTGAAAGATGTGTAGGCAAGGTGGATTAACCATGCCAAATGCGGGGTTACAGGAGACGGGTGGGATGCTCTTCAGAGGATCAGTGCAGTCTTGGTGGGCTGAATGGCCCCTTTCTGCACTGTAGGGATTGTATGGAAGTTAATCATCTCAGCTGCAGGAGTCAGCATTTTTTTTTGCATCTTCAGCTGCTTCAGCAATGACCTTCCCTCGATCATAAGGTCGAAGTGGAGCAGTACGCCAATGACTACACATGTTTGGCACCATTCATGACTCCTCAGATTCTGATGCAGTTCATATTCAAATGCAACAAGACCTGCACAATATCCAAGCTCAGCCTGAAAATGGCAAGTAACATTTGAACCAGATAAACACCAGCAATGCCCATTTCTAATGAGAGACAGTTAACCTACTGCCCCTTGCCATTCAATGGTGGTATCATCAGTGAATCCCCCGCTATCAACATCCTATTGACAAGGAACTCAGCTGGAATCACCATATAAATACAATGACTACAAGAGTAGGTCAGTGTCTAAGAATACTGCAGTGAAAACCTCACCTCCTGACTCCAAAAGCCTGTCTACTATCTACAAAGCACCAGTCAGAAGTGTGACGGAATACCTCCCACTTGCCTAGATGAGTGCAGCTGCAATAACGCTCAAGAAGCTTGACACCATCCAGGACAAATCAGCCCACTTGGTTGGCACCATGTCCACGAGCATCCATTCCCTCCACCATTGACAGTCAGTAACAACAAGTGCCATCTACAAGATGTACTACAGAAATTAATGAAAGATCCTTGGATAATACCTTCCAAACACATGTCCTTTCCCATCTAGAAGGACAAGGGCACCACTTACATGGGAACACCACCACTTACAAGTTCCCCTCTGACCCACTCACCATCCTGACACGAAAATATATTGTCGCTCCTTCAGTGTCATTCAATCAAAATCCTGGAATTCCCACATTGCGCATCTATGTAAAGTACATTGACTACTGCAGTTCAAGAAGGCAGCTTAGCATTATGCTCTTAAAGGCAACTAGGAATGGGCAATAAATGCTGGCCAATTAGCAATACCCACCTCCCATAAGTGAATTTTTCAAAAAAGTATTAAGAGATTTGGGACAGATACCGAGGACATACCTGAATACTTTGCCATGAAAATAATATGCAATATAACTTTTGGTTTATTTCAGTGACAAGCTAGTGTAGCTGAAGTGAGCAACACAACAGACCTACCAATCACTCCACCACAGCCCAACCACAATCCATGCCCCCAGCCTAACTCAATGAACCTATCTTGGGGAAACTGCATTCACCCACTTCTGCACCAAATGGAATTAGAAGCTCTGGGTGTGAGGCTGGAAAAGCACAGCAGGTCAAACAACATCCGAGGAGCAGGAAAGTCAATGTTTCAGGCTGATAGATTCTGGCTTCCAGCGTCTGCAGTCCTCATTGTCTCTGAATTAGAAGCTCTGACTGAAACTGAGCTGTTCCACTAGAACAGCAGTAGCAATGTGTGCCGATTTGTGGCTGTCCCATTATACAAGCCAAATCAGTTAGGTGGAATGCTAGGTCCAGAATGGCAAACCTTAGGAAAAATAAAACTTTGCAAAAGTCTTTAACAAGTTCCAGTGTAAAAACCTCTTTTCCCATTGTCAGTTTGAATTTGCTGTCCTGTGCCTGCGAATTTCGGTTCCTGTCAACCACTACAATCAGGTAGCAAAAGTTTAACTGACAACGCTGCAGGAAATAAAACAAACTGGAAATGTGCATTTCATTTAAATCATTGTTCAGCAAGTGAAATAAAAAGTGGATTTGCCATACTCCATCGCAAGTTTCATGGGATTGAGTTCTCTTCCACTTATACTTTTCACCACCTCCACACCTCCACCATGATTAAGTCCTTGGTAGGAAGGCCTATGGATGGTTTCCCCTCTCTGCTGCCAATTGAGTATTAACCCTACAGGCTAAGCATGTGGGTTTGCATGTGATCTCCCTGGAATGGGGTTCTTCCTGCAAAGGCATTCAGTTGCTGATCAAGGGGCTGAGTATCAGGAAGCAATTGTGGAAATGGGATGGGAAGTCCCAACTGTGGGGGTAACAAGCAAAACAGATAAAGAAGAATCAGTAGATGCAATAGATTTGGATTTCCAAAAGGCATTCAGTGAGATACCACTTATAATGCCACTTAAGATGAGAGAGAAGGGTAATGTATTAGCATGGATAGAGAATTGGGTAACTCATAAGAATCAGACAGAAAACAGGTCATTTGGCCCATTGTGTTCACACTTGTCAAAAACCCATTTTCCAGCACTTGGCCCCTAACATTGTATGCATTGGTATCACAAGTGCACCAGATTCCAAACACCCGTCTGGATGAAAAAGATTTTCCTCACTTCTTCTCTAAACCTCCTGCATGTTAACTTCAATCTATGCCCTCTGTTCATTGATCCCTTCTTCAAGGAGAAAAGTTTCTTCCTGTCAACCCTATCTATGCACCTCATAATTTTGTATATCTCAATCTTTCCCCTCTCAATCTCCTCTGATCCAAAGAAAACAATCACAGTCTGTCCAATCTCTCTTCATAAGTGTAACTCTCCAACCCAGGCAATAATTTGGTAAATCTCCTTCACACTCTCTCCAGTGCTATCACATTCTTGCTATAATGTGGATTTCAGAACTGTACACAATACTTTCGTAGTGGCATAATCAATGTTTTTGCATAACCTCCCTGCTTTTAAACTCTATTGCTAGACTCATTGAGGCAAAAGTTGGGATAAATGGAGCATTTTTAGGATGGCAACCTGTGACCAGTCGTGTGCTGCAAGGGTCAGTGGGAGGGGCCACAATTATTTACAAGCTATATTGGTGACTTGGGTGAGCTAAGTGAATGTACTATAGTCAAGTTTGCCGATGACACAGAGATATGTGGGATGCAAGAATTGAGGATGATACAAATTGTCTAGAGATGGATGTGGACAGGTTATGTGAGTGGCCAAAAATCTTGGTAAATGGAATGTAGTGTGGGAACGTGTGAAGTTATATAGTTTGATTAGAAGATTAGAAAAGCTGTACATTATTTAACTGGGGAAAGACTGCAAAAAGCTTCAAGCTTGAGCATGAATCAAAAAAAGATAACATCCAAGTACAGTGGGTAATTTGACAGAATTGTTATTGTTAGAAGGAGACTATTTGGCCTATCATATCTGCTTGACACTGGTTCCTTTACCTAGTGACAATCTCCTGCCTTTTCTCCATTAAACCTACACACCATTTCTATTGAAATGATCTTCCAATGCCCTCTTGATTGCCTTGATTGAAGGATCTTCACCACACTTCCAGGCAATGCATACCAGTGGAAGGCAAATGGAATATTGCCTTTATATCAAAGGGAATAGAATATAAAAATAGGGAAGTCTTTCTAAAAAAAGCTCTGGTCAGACAATAACTAGAATATTATGAACAGCCTTGGTCCCCTTATCTGAGGAAAGACGCAATGACATTGGAGACAGTCCAGAGAATTTTCACTAGATTGACTCTGTGTACCAGGGAGATTTTCTTGTGAGGAGAAATTGAGTAGGCCAGGATCATACCCATTGAAATTTAGGAGAATGAAAGGAGACCTTGTTGAAGCATACAAGATCCTTAGAGTTTGTCAAGGTAGAATTAGAAAGAGCATAGGACCATAGGGCATAATCTCAAAAGGAGGGGCTGTCAGTTTAAAACAGAGATTAGGAAGAATATCTTCTCTCAGAGGATAGTGAATTTGTGGACTTTTTGCTGCAGAGGAGTGTCAACGCTGAGTGCAAACAGTGTGGTTTCAGTTCCTGTACCAGCTGAG